TCGATATCCACATATTTTATATCAATAAACTAAATGGAAACATGATGGAAAGAAAAAATTATTTCCATCATAAATGGCTGACTAAGACGATGTAACCTTTTCTCCTTTAGCATGTTCTGCAAAAAATGCCATTCTATGCCATGCTTAATGTTTTTAAGCGTGAGCAGTGTTTTCACAGATATCGCTGTTATTTGTAATATTGGTGTTCGTATTAACTCTAACAAAGACTGGTTAGTTACAGCATTTATAGCTCAAGAACGGCTAGGCTAATTTTAATTATATCTGATTTGATGGAATCATATTTGCCCCTAATAGCATAACTATTAAAATATCGGAACATTTACTAGATGGCGCTGTAGAACTAAACCAGATATTCACATCAAATGCAACCAGCAACACATTCCGCAGGATTTTTTAAAATCTATATCGTTTAAGAACTCCAAAATGAAGCTTTCTGTGGCATTAAAAAAATGAAATTTTGAGGAAATAGGCTTGAAAGAAACGTTTCTCATGCCGTAATATACAGGATGATATTTTTGCACATTTTATTACATTTTTTCTTGTTTGGGGGGGGGGCGGAGTGAGGGTGAAGGGGGTGTAAGAGAGAGAAAGGGAGATGAAGGGCAGAACGCAGAACGTCTGCCGGGTTCAGCTAGTTATTGAATAAGCAAATATTATTGGAATTTTAAATCGTCCATCAATTACGTAGACTTGAAATTCTAGTATTTAAGTGTACCAGGATTACGTGTTAAATCTAGCAGCCAGTTTGACTTTATGGTGTCCCCTATGGTTTGACCAGGGCCGGTTCACTCAATGTTAAAAGGCGGGGGACTAAGTTTGTTTCCTATTCACGACGGACCTGGTGCAAGATAGCGCGCTGTTCGCGTTTTTGGCGCGCATTTTCAAAGTAGGTTGTGCGAGATTAATTGTGGGCGTGTAGAGATTATTCAGAGTATTATTGCCTTTCTTAATGATTCAGATTAAATTGATTTAAATATATTTCTTTTAAATACTGTATAGAAATGTTTATAACTTAAAAACCAAATTGTAAAGCTGATTTACTTATCCTTATTATTTACAAAGAGAAAAAAGTGAAAATATGATTTTTTAAATGATCATTTTTCTTATTTTTTGTTTTAGTTGTTTTTTTTCAAGCATAGTACTATACATTTGAGGGGTCTGGTGCATAACTGCCTAACACAAAATCTTTAAATATGAGTATTAATAGTCTATCCTTTATGTGTTCACTGTTATGGAAATACAGCCTTGTAGCAACACTGGTCGCATGGGTGCAGAACAAAGACATTTTTATCGAAAAAGTCTCTTACTGTTAAACAACCTTATTTCACAAAAAACTTACAACTATTAGACAGTTTTTGAAGTATTAATTCTATTTAATAGTTTGTCTGTTCCTTCCACTTAAATGGTATTTTACAATATACACAAAGGAAAAGGTTAACATTATTCAAAAATTAATAAGATTAAATTCGTTTTTTATTAGTTTTTACAATATTTACAGCTTTTTTTTCTTAAGTAGTATCAATAAACATTACGCATTTTTATTAATGCTTATCTTCTCTAAGATGTATAGATTTGTGGGATTAGCAACAATTTTACTCCAAATTAGAATTACAAAATCGCTTGAGATTTATTGTGTTTTTCCTGAAACAAGTCTCGGTGTGTGTATTGTTCCTAATTTTGCTATTATCTACAGACAATGAAACATGCTAGATAAAACTACTCTATCATCAAGTCCATTAGTAATAACTACTAAAAGTGTTTATTGTTCCATTTCATCAAGCATGCTCATTTTATGGTATATTACATTGTAAATTCTTTTTCTCCGAACTTCTTCAATTTTTATGTGAAAAAGTTTAAAGAAATATGATTTTCGTTGTTTACTATGTAATTGATCTTAGTCTTCATTCTATAACTTAATATTTGTCATATTTGAAAAAAATAATCTTTAAATAATGATTTTTTAAAAGTTTCATTTGGTTATACAATATGATTGAAATGTACGCAGTTATATTTTTGGTGCTTTATAGCCGAAAATAGAATTGTAAATTTTTGCATCAATCTCAATCATTTGTATATTCGGGTAAACGTTTTCAAACAAAGGAAAAGTCGAAACAACATTTATATATATACTACAGTTTTCATGTTTTGGCAAGTTGATTCGTCCCTTGTAGTTCGTAATCAACATAACGGTAATATAATCGCTTAGTGTTCTGGGAAAAAAAAAATTTTTTTTTAAAAGGAAAAAAAGGGCGGAAATTTTTTTCCTCCCTTCATTGTTTACCAAAAAATATTATGATTGAAATTGTGGAGATTATAAGCATTTTAATTTGGCCATTTTTCTCCTAGTTTTAAGGCAATATTATTTAAAATAAATAAACTGGCACGATTTCTTCTGTTTAGCAGCAATACCAACGAATTTTTTTTTTATTTTCTAATAGCTACTGATTGGTTACTGACATGCATGACAATATTGTCCACAAAGTCAACAAAATATCACTCATTGAAAACGTACAATGGGGCAGAAATACTGACATTGTTAGAATGACAGAATTTGCCACGTATCAAGTAAGCAAATTGGATTAGATTTTTACTCATACATTATCAATATTTCTTAACGGATTTATTATTCAGATGTTTCATCTTAGCAACTTCAACATTTGGGCTAATTTAAATTAAAATCATCCTATAATATATTAACTTTCTTAGCACTGAAGTATGATGAAATACATCCCAAAAAAGTATTTATACCTATCTTAATATTTTTTAAAAAATGTTGATATTTAAAGGGTATATTATTTAATTACACACAGTTTTTTTTTATTAGCACATTCGAACAACGAAAGGTTTTTTAATTGTTCACATTGAAACTTGTTTTGATTATTATTAATATATTTCAGTGCTTGTTAGGAAAGTTTTTTCTAAACAGGGCAATTATTTATTCGAATATATACTTGCTGAAATATATATTGTTATAATGATCGAGACTAGCAGAGTTGGAGATAAGGGAAAAAGATTTCACTGGCAATCTTTGTAATCAGATTCTCTTGAAATGATTTTCTTTGGAGACGACAACAGGGTGGGATTGTAGGAACACTGTTGATACAATTCCATCTTCTAATGTTTAGTGAAGTCGAATTGTTTGTATTTGCAGTATCTACTGCAACTCGAAATACTCCAGAATGGAAACGTTAACTCGCTACACTAAGAAATAAAATTAATTAACATTTTCATCATAAGATTAAATGAGAGTGTAACTATTCTAGAAATGAACACATAATGAATATGAAATATTGGAAAATTAGAACATTTTGTGATCTGTTTAGACCCAGGTTATTGCAAACAATGAATATGTGGAAATATAAATGAATATTAGTACAAAACGTGTCCAATACTATCAAATAAATATAATACAATACGTTTAAACAAATAGAACAGAATAAATGACATGTACACGGTTAGGTTATACTACATGGGTTTCGGGATTTTTAGACTATTTGCATGGTGTAATGTTACAAATAAATAATCAATTACCAATTATGCAAAAGATTCAAAATGAATTTAATACCGCTCACTGTGGTAGGGTGAAAATATTGCCAATGTACTTGACTAGCACAAGTTTTTTAATATCACGGCAAAATAATGAATACACAAGTTTTAGACATGAAAATAAATATCGCGACATAATTCACCTTTACTTCAATGCACGACATTCTACATACTAACAAACGCTGAAAAAATCGATAAAAAAATGAGCACCTACCTGCTTGCAGCCCTGGCACGTAGAAACAAACACGCCTACATTGCACTTTTTTTGAATTGCATGACGTACACGTTTTAGTTCGGCTTACGTGGAACTGTTGTAGATGGCGCAAAAATCATTACCCCGTTTTGACCGCCAAGTTTCCCTACCCTGGGTTTGACCGTTTGTCATCTCCCCTGCTGCCCTCACACGGGAAGCACGTCACACTAGTTCAATTACGTTGTGCGGTTCTTTATAATGTACTGTAACTTTTTTACAAGTTGAATTCTTTTTGTTTTTAAAATCTGTTGGAAATTCAGAATATCCTCCCATGGTGGTGACTTACGAGGAACATTATAATACAAAAAAATACAATTATAATCAGAAATTATCTTTTGGGAATAAAAATTAACAACTCTTCTTTTGTAGATTGGAAGGGAGCAGACCCCTCAACTTAAGAAAAGCATTTAACGCAACACTTGCCGCTCATGAAGAAGAAACTAACAGAGTAAGAAAGGAGGGGAAGTTCTATGGCCATGGGTAAAATTGCATCTGACGATCTCTGAGTACGTTAATTGGGTAATGTTACGGACATTTTTAACAGGCGTATGTAACACGCCTAGCGAAAGCGAAAAAAAGATGGACGGAATTGGATATAGCGGGAGAGAAGGTGATTGAATATTGCAATTCTATGGTCATTCTTCCTTGAAGTGTATGTGTGTATGTACATTCCGAGAAGTGGCGGCATTCTCCGAGCTAGATCATGTGGTCTTGCACCACTGTAGGATCGTGAGATCCTTATGCGACGTGGTTTCCCCTCCAGGAATCTCCATCACGGCACCAACAAGCACCAACAAGTTATTTTAGTAAAGTGAAGTTAAAGTTATATTTTCTAGAATTTTTCATTAACTTTGCTTACTAATATTACTGTTGTTAGAGATTGTTAATAATTCATAAACAAACCAATTGGTTAAATTAAATTTGTAACAAAAACATTTTTTCAGAATAAGCCGTATTTTGTTTTGGATATACCTAGCGCCTCTTAGGAATTCGTATTTGGCGGGTTTTCTTGCGGGTAGTTCCACCGTATAGTATAATAATGCTGCATACTATCGGCACTTTACTCTCTTTATACTTTATACTCTTTGTAAAAAGCGCACTATTGAAGTTGTGTAACTTGTTGGCGTGTTCTGTTTCCATCAGTTTTTCACGTTTACACAGTGATTTGGGTGGAGTAATAATGGAAGATTTTATTGTAATGGAAAGCGTAATTAAAATAGAGGGTGTAAGCAATTTCTCCATGTTTGATATTACGTTAAAATGTGACTTGTTAACTGTAATATGTAGTAATGAGCGTTGCGAATACTAATTACTAATGATACTGAAAGTATTGTTTTGAACGATATATTTTTAATTAAAAAAAAAAAATTGTAAGTGTAAAGTAAATTCGTCGGTTTAATTACTTTGGAATGATTGTTTCTTTTCAGGTGAAAGAAGAACCTGTTGATTCGAATGAATATTGTTGGAATACCTTTGTGAGTAATAGCATTAGTGACATCGTATTTGGAATATTTTATGGGTATCACAAAATCGTGAAGTTGGCATGTTTGTGATTAGAGAGTTGCATAGTTGCCTTTACAAAAATGCATATTTTTGCAATATTGAAGGGTACTTGGGAGTCGTAGCTTGTGAGTCAGCTTTCAGGACAAAAGTGACCATGTTGAATTCCTGATTGAGAGTTCTGCAGAAATGTCTCATTTGTTGTTGCTGAGCTAGTAGGGAAAATTAATTGTGGAGTGTATTGGAGAAATAGCGTTGATGCTTTCAGAGTCGTTTGTTGAAGTGGCTGATTGATGTTTGTGCAGTTTTGGGCTTGGCAAGGAAAGCAATTCCTATATACTGAACTCCCTCAAAGTACCCATGTGTGATACACCAAGCTTTCGATTATGGGGATAAAAAAGAAGGGCATACTTGAAGTATAGTAGTATCATTTGAGTGTCTCTAAAGAGTAATCTTTATTTCAATTGAAATTCAATTGTCTTAAATTGCGAGTGTTATGTTTTGCTTTTGTAACTTTTACTCTATTCATCTGTTTATTAAACGTTTGCTAGAAGACACAATTGCTAGACATCTGTTGGATGATAATAATAATGTAGTGTATATCATTGTCTTCTGGATGGGATATATTGGGTTGAGTTTTCAGGTCTTGGGAATATTCTAATTGGTAAACAGTTACTAAATTTTCATAATTTCTACCTTTCTGGTACAGGGTTTAATCTGAAAACTTTTCCTAAAATTGAATTGATCGTTTTTAATCCCTTTCTTTTAACTTAATTTAAAAAACCGAATAGTTTTATAATATGTTTTCATATTGTTAATATTATTGTTATTGTTACGAAATACAAGTATTATCATTATGAAATACTTTATTTTGCAATGTTTTCCATATTTCTCAGGGCCTGAACTGTTGAGTTGATGTGTTTTCGCTTATATGTTGACGATATTACCTCCCTTTCTAGTCTTCTTTAGGGGTAATTCAATAATATGTATGCAGTCATAGTTCCTTCGAAACCTCTGTGTGAAACATTAAGTAGTACTTAATAACCTTTCACTGATTGCAAGATCTGTCTAATCCTTTATGTGTGACCTAATTTGCTGAGTCAGAAAATATAATTTATCCAAATTTGAGTAAATTCTCATAGCTTTCTAATATATTTATCATTCACTTTAACACATTCCCAACTTAAAATAAATAAATTTCATCTCACAAATGCTGTGAGAGTATTCCCATTTCTATCTACTCCTTCCTCCCTCGCTTACATTCCTGTCCTGTTCAATGTGACCCCCCCCCCCCTCATACAAATTGCATACATATTTCTCTTTGAATGCCCTCTTTTCATTAACTATTGTATTAAAATTTGTTGAAAATGGTCAGGCTAAATGGCCTGAGCCTCGCCATCAATGATATTTATTTATTTATGTAGATGACAATGTTCAGTGTTTTTTTAGTGAACATTTTTATAATGTTTCAATGTTGTTGTTTTTTTCAAAATTGAAGAAAAAGGCGTCTCCTGTTGTACAAAATTTTTCCAAATATCTTTTTTAAGCCCTCCGTAACTGGAGCATGATACAAAGGAAAATGAAATAATTTTTGATTATTAGAACTTTTAAGAAAAAGTCATATGAGTTTCACATGCATTGGTTACTTACGTAATAAATAGTGCAAAAATTGTGGTGCATACTCTTTTACATACAAACATGAATGAAATAAGTTAACTAAAATTTTAACTTGGATAAAAATTAATTATATTATATTTTTTGGTGTTATTGCTTATAACTTAAAAAAAAATATTTTTTTTTGTAAAAGTATTTTTAAAATATTGAAGGATGTGAAACTTAATATAAACACATAATTATTTAACAAATGTCTGTGTTTGTGACTATCAGTCAAAATTAAAAATTGCCAAGTGGTGATTTTTAATAATAATGAGCCATTCACTTGTTTAAGGAACCTTATTCCAGTGGCTCTGCAGAGGAGATAAAAGATGTTCAATCGTAATTAACAAGTGAAATAAAACTGACTGACAGGAGTAGATCAGACACAAAATTAAACACTGTATAATCTTTAGAAATATCATAAATTGATCACGTGAAATGTAACCCTAAGTTCAAACTCAATAATTGTTTTGATTTATTCAAATAATTAATATATAAAGATATGTAATAATGCTAAATGAGTATCCTTTAATGCCAACAATTTATTCACTTACAAATTATGCTCTCTGAAGTACCCAAGATGTTTATATAAAGCACATTGTAAATTCTAAATCCTCTTATACAATTTACAACCAAAAAAAAATTTCATGAAATTATTAGACTTACTTACTGAACATGATTTTTTCAACTTCAAGGACAAAATTTATGAACAAGCTGAAGGTCTTGCTACGGGTTTTAACTTGGCTTCATAATTTGCTGAAATCATTAAGCATCATTTTAAAAATAATTTGTTTAATAGTTCACACCTCTTATTTAAGATGTATTAACAGTTGTTTTAGATAGGTCAATGACGTTGTTTGCCTTCGGACAAGTAAGATCAGACAATTGAAACAGTTTTTTGATTCCTTAAATTCTTATCACCCTAATTTAAACTTCAAAATTGAATTAGAAGAGAACTTAACCAAAATTTCCTTGGTTTCAGCATTTTTATAGAAAACATAATTTTAAAATGTTCAGAAAATGCACTTGAACAGATAGGATCATTCCCTTTAATTACAATCTCATTTTTCAACATAAATTTGTTGTTTTCCGTCCTTGGATTCATATATGCTCCGATGTCATAAGTTTTTAAGATGTAATCATGTTTCTGCATAAGTTATTACCAGTTTGTATATAGCTCAAAATAATGAATATAACCCTTCTGTCAATAAGAAATTCATTAAATAAAAAGAAATTAACCCTTATCTGAGCAATAACGGTCCATTGTATCCAGAAGCAAAAGTTATAAAAATCTTCATCTTTTTTCAGACGCGTGCTCTTTTGAACCCAGGTCTCTTAATCTGAATGTAATATTGTGTTTTCTGCTTTTGTTTGGTCGATTACTTGATGACCGGTTCATGCCTAGGGGATGGATATCAGGTTGCGTGACATCTTTTCATCTGAAAGGTATCTGATCCTATGTGTGAGTGAGTCTAAGATTGCCTTCATAGACAAGAGTTGCTGCGGGTTAGTCTGTAGCTGAGTCAGCAGAGTGAGCTTTTTTTTTGTGTGGTCCATGTTTTGTGCGAAAACTTCACAGCAATAAAAATGTTGCTGACCCTGACTGAATGCTAGGAAACCTGCAATCATATGTTTTTAATTGTTGATATTGCAAAGAATTTGGTTTGTACACAAAATGTTAGTAGACGGTCAAACAGGATTGAATAACAAGTGTCACCTGACAATCACACAAGTTTTTGGAGCAGAAGGAACTTCCACAACTCAGAAAATTTATAAAAATGACAAAAAGATATAATTTGTACTCTTGGGAAAGAAATAGGAAACAAAAAGTTGTAGCATCCGTTCAAAACCTGTCTATAATGAACATAACCAGGTTGACAGTGTGTGTGATCTATAGTAAGAGAAAAACTGCTTAATAAACAAGTGTAAAGAATTTTGAAAGGTTGAAATTTTATATTAAACAATTATATAAGAGTTCTGTTTTGTTATCCACATCAAAAAAGTACACCAAGAAGCATAATTGTGTCGCAGATACTCCTAGGTCCGCTTGGCCCTGCCTGCCTGGTTGCATTATTAAAATTGGTTGCCTGGAAAAGGGTTAAAATAACTAATAAGGTCTTCCCTTAAAATTTCCCGTTTGAAAAAAAGAAATTGAAGAGAGTACCATGTATAGGCCCAATTCTAAAAATATATAAAATGTTAACATAAATTATTATAGAATATTAAATTCCTAATATTCTCTAACAGTTCTTTTGTGTAAATAAATCTTCTGTACCGTTTCTAAATAGGATTGGTATTTATTTATTAAAATGTAACAGTTGCAATTTCACTTATGTAGAACAAATGGGTAGATTATTTTCTACTTGAGTTAATAAACATTTGAGAACTTCAAGTCGAAAATTAATTTGATAACCGTCTAATAAAAAATAATTCACTCTTTTGACCCTAATACTAATTTCAAAACTCTCCGTTTAGAAAATAAGGGTAATAAAATAAATATTTTAGAAAATTTGAAAATGTCAAAATCTAATAACGCAGATTTAATAGGTCATAATCAACAATTTCAAGTAAAATGCAGTCCCATAATGCACTATAATAAAATGCACCCTTCACTGACAACTTCACCACTTTTCCATTTCCTGTCTAACTATGCAGTCAGTCACAGCTCTGTATAAATAATACAAGATGGTACCAAGTTAAAGTTCCATGTGATTAATCTGTGGTACTTGGATATGTATCCTATTTCTAAAGATTTTATATTGTTAATTTTTGTATCTCTATTCTTTGTTTATTTAAGAGTTATTTCATAGGTGAATTAAATTTGATAACCTATTTTCTTCTCTGTAGAGCCACTGAAGATGGGATAAGATTCCCGAAACCTGTGTAAGGCTAATTATTTTTAATATTAAATATATTTTCTAATAAACTTTGTGGTTGATATCTCCTTGATCCTTAATCATTCTCTTTAGATGACCTAAGGTTATAGCTAACATACCTAGAAATGTTATGATTGTTATTACTGCAGAGGCCAAAGGTTAAAAATTGAGGCGGAATGAAGTGGAGCCAAGATTTTTAATTTGAATGAGGCATTATTAACTCTAATATTTTGTGGTATGTTCAGCATTTTATCGGTCATGTTAAAGTTTCACGATATATACATTACTTGGAAACAAATGAATTCTGTTACTGCGGCACGTTACTACGATATGGTGGGGTGTTGCTTGTGATATAACTTTTTAAACAATATTCGTATAATGTGATTTGAGAAAAGATGGATGCTAATAATTCAATAATAATCTTGTGAACATAAAAATACTCA